TTTAAATTCAAATATCAGGTTCCAGTAGGAACGGGTGATCTCTGAACCCCCAAACTTCGGTCCTGCTGGCTGCAACTTTAGTGCCGGCATGTGGGCGGTTCTGGGTTGCTCACCTCTGTGCTACAAAACCACCGAGCTCCCCCCCCCCAAGGAAAAGGGTCCCTTCCTTAGGAGGGGCAGAAGGGAGCCTTAGGAAGGACGAGGAGGAGGGATGGTGAAGCCGAGAAGTTTTTCTTACTTGGGCACAACATTTGAAGAAATTGGAGGCCTTACCTTCCCATGATGCTCTTTGCACCAGTCCGACATGCCGTCAAGCAACTCATTGGGCTGGTTGATGATCAGATTAGGACCCTATCAACCAAGAGAGGACATTTATGAATGAATGAATGAATGAACGAATGAACGAACAAATGAATGAATGAATGAACAAATGAATGAATGAATGAACGAATGAATGAACGAACAAATGAACGAATGAATGAATGTATTTATGTTTAAATGACCACCCAACTGACCATCGGTGACTCCGGGCAGCTCACAAGGATAAAAGCCCAATACAGAAACAATAAAAAGCAACAACCCACACAATAAGGCAAAAAAGGTCAGATAACACCATTGCCACCCTGGGACTTGGAAGGCCAGTCGAGAGGAGGGGGGAACTCCTGTAACAGACCTCAGTCTCAGGGTATCAGCCACCCACCCCCACCTCCCTATTTGTGGGTATCCCTGACATGCCTGGTTGATTTCAGGGCAAACAACAACCTCTGAACCCAAAAACGATTTTCCAACCCTTTGAGGAGGATTCTTCTAATGTTCAGGCACAATGTTCACTCTCAATGACGTCAGCCTCCCTCACATTTAACAAAGCAGGACAGGATTCTTTCCCACAGAGAAACCAAGCCAATTCTTGACTAGCACTGATGAGGTTGCCTAATTGGGTAATGAAACCTCTGCAAGAAAGCAAGCAGGCTCAGAGAGCACCAAAGATCCCTCAAACCAATTCTTATTTGCGTTTTTAGGAATCCTGTATTCTCTAAGAGCCAGCAGAGCCAACAAAAGTTCGTTCTGGAACTTGTAAGGTTTAGAGGCGACCTCTTGTATCTCCATAATATGTGGCTCTGTCCTATCATCACCATCATCACCAGCTTTCTCCACTCCAGAGCTGCAGGTCATGCGTGATGCACAGGTCAGTAAGCTTTTCTTCGTTCATCCAAAATCTCATGCTAATTACAAGAATCCGCCTCTTCTAATTTTCTCCCCAATCTTTTTTTCTTTTTTTTAATCTACTGCTTAATCTAAATCCATCCGCGTGGGCCATCCTTTGCAAAATGGATGAGGACCCAGTTTGTGGGGGCAATAAGCTGACTTTGTATAAAAATATACAAAAGTATGAAGGCTATTGCTTAATGCATTGTAAGCTGCCCTGAGTCTCCGGAGAAGGGCGGCATATAAATCAAATTAAAAAAAAATAAAATAAAATAAAGGAGGACATAATCAAACGTCCACTGCAAAGAAAAGGAGGAACGAAAGAGAGGGGAAAAGAAGAAACTTAGAAACACGGCAGTCGGAAGCCCAGGCGCTCTTTTCACGGAAGGTTTCCCTTCGCACGCAACAAAGAGAAGTAACAGGCGGCCGATTATTGAGTGAGCAGGCAGATTTAGGCTGCGGAGGAATTTGTGTTTTCTCAGAAGCCACAGGGAGAGAGAACAGCTGTAAGGCAGCCAGCCAGCTTCCCAGTTTAATCTTGCCTTGCCCACTTGGCAGCAGCAGCCGTTCTCCAGGCTGGAAACATCTGGACATTGCAGGCGGAGAAAGAGGATTTCATCAGCCAGAGAACCGGGCGCCAAGACAGTCCCACCAGGGTCCCTCGGTCAAGGGAAGGTGGAGACCTTTAACTTTAACCGTCAGGAGAGCCAGGAGGAGCCGCTACTTACTTCGGCCAGGATGTTCAGCCCTGAATCTGTGACGAGGCAGGCCATCTCCAGGATCTGGTCCTTCTCAATGTCGAGGCCAGTCATCTGTGTCCGAGAAGGGGAAGATCACGGGAATTAGGCTGGATCTGAAGCAGGGACTCACTAACTGATGTGGGAGGAGACCTCCAGTGTGGTTGTCAGGAGAAAGAAATTCACCCTCATAACATTCAAGGGAAGAAGACAACACTCGGGATGGAGAACATCTAAGGGCATCCGTGGAGGGCTCCACACCTTCTCACCCTTGATGGGGTGATGCTTGCAGCTGGGCTGAGCCAAGGAGGGATAACTCACACCCTGGTCAGCACTTCTTTACCCTCCTACCATCGGGCAGGAGATATACCGCGTTTCCCTGAAAATAAGACCCTGCCTTATATTTTTTTGAACCCTGAAATAAGCGCTTGGCCTTATTGCCATGCGCTCAAAAGCCTGATTGGGCTTATTATCAGGGGATAATGTCTTATTTTGGGGGAAACAGGGTAGAAGCATAGCCAGTCGTACGGACAGGCTGAAGAACAGCTTCTATTCGTGACTCCTGAATGCCACATAACATCATAAGCATGTAGTATGATAGACTTGCAGAGCCGGTGCAATATGTCCATGTTGGTGCAGTATATCATAATGCAACATTACGGACATATACGTATAGAGGATTGTGTGCTGTTAGTGTGATTTATTGGGTTAGGGATTTTTCTTTCTTTCGCTGTGAGTTATTGAGATGTATTTATGGTTTTTTGCGGGGAGGGAGGAGGGTGCACGAAGGGAGGCTCAGCTAATCTCGTGTTGTACATTGACAATAAAGGCTCGAATTGAATTGAATGTGGAGAGCTCCTCGCCTGGTCAAGCCAGACTGGTCAAGCTCTTGACCGGGCCGGGCATGGAGGAGCCTTTCCAGGAGGGCCCAAGACCCCAAGGCAACGCTGGACTCTCCCCAAAGGCGGGGCGAATTCCGGCTGGTATCAAAGGAAACCCACCCCCCAAACTCCCCATCAAGTGGGGAGCAAATGAATAGAGGGGGAAAGAGTGGGGGGTCTTTCTAGGCTCTTAGCTTTAAAGCAGGGGTCTCCAACCTTGGCAACTTGAAGTCCACCAGCCTTAAAGTTGCCAAGGTTGGAGACCCCTGCTTTAAAGCATGCAGACCCCCCCCAAAAAATGTCCCCCGCCCCGCCCCCATTGGCTTTTGCCAGCTTTGCAGGCTGAGGAACTCTGGGAGTTGAAGTCCACCAGCTTTAAAGTTGCCAAGGTTGGAGACCCCTGCTTTAAAGCATGCAGACCCCCCCCCCACCCCACTCCTCCCCCCCCTATCCTTCTGCTCCCCTCGGATGAGGAGGGGGGCATTGAGGGGCCCCTCCAGGAAGGAGGCGCATCTGCCCCAGCAACAACAGCACCCCCAGACCCAAAAGACCCCTCCCCCTGCAGCCTCCCCCTCCCCTCCAAGCTGGGGAGGGAGCTGCTGGGTCCCATCTTAGAAGGGGGGAGGGGGGTTGCGCCCCCCCCCCCCCCCCCCCCCCCCCCCCCCTACCTCCAGGTCCACCCAGACGATCCTCTGGCCCATCAGGCCGGCCGCCTCGGCCATGGCTCGCCTCCCGCCGCGCCCCGGGAAGCCTCCTCCGCAGAGCCGCAGCCAGCCTCGGGCGCTTCCGCCGACGCCACGCATCCCCGCCGAACTCCCCGGAGACTACGGCTCCCGGCAGGCAGCGCGGCACCGAAGCCGCCCCCCATCAACACCAGTCCTGCCGCAAGGGCTGCCGGGAAGCGGAGTTCCTGAAAACGAGCGCCGACGCCAAGCGGCCGCGCCGCGCCTAGCATGCTGGGAAGCGTAGTCCTCTCTCTCTCTCCCCCCCCCCAAAACCAGGGGTCTTTTACAATCTGTGGACTTCAACTCCCAGAATTCCTGAGCCAGCTTGGCTGGCTCAGGAATTCTGGGAGTTGAAGTCCACAGGTTGTAAAAGAGCCACATTTGCCCACCCCTGCCCTAAACTAAGGCGGAAGCATCCTGGATGGAGGGCCACCTGGGCCCCCCCCCCCCAGACTGGCCTCTGAGGGCACTGGCTCCAGATGCCCAGCTGCTCCACCCTGCTGGGAAAGGAGGAAATGGGCAGCTGGCCTGACCCATCCAGCAGCTGCCCCCATCCCCACCCCAAGGGCTGCTCTGGGGCAAGGCGATCTGCCTGCCAAGCGTTTTTTTTGGGGGGGGGAGAGGACCGGTCTGCAGCTCCGGTCAGTGCGGGTAGGGGGGCAGTGATTCATGTCAAAGGTCAACCTTTACCCTGTAGCCCCCTCTGTACTGCTGACCCACTTTTTTTAAAAAAAGAAGCGCTTGCAATTCAAGGGCAACTGGTTCTTTTGGATGCAGGGACAGTAAGGGAGGGGAGGGGAAGGGAAGGCAGTAGAGGAAGGCAGAGGCAGAGGGGCTAAGAGGGGAGGGGTGGGGGACCAGAGGCTGCCTTTCAAAGGACAGAGAGGGGAGCTGTGGAGCTGCTTTCACCTCTGTTGCAGGGAAGGGTGCCTGGGGCTCCTGAAGGAATCTGCATTTTGCCCCATTCAAGCAGCTGCCCAGCTGCCAAAAGCCCCGTCAAGCAGGTCAACCCTCCGCCTCACTTGGGACTAACCCAGCAGGCTGGAAGAGAGCAGGCCCTTCTCAGACGGTTATTAGCAACCTTAATAAATTCATTTTTTGAGTATGAATTAAATTACCCAGGGGAAAGAAATAATGGCAGGACCGGAAACAAAGCGATGATGTGTCACTGAAGAGAAAGAACAGAGGGGCAGGTCAATATCCACCCCAAGCAAGATTTGGACCTCCGGAGTATGCAGCCCCTCTTGGGGCCAGATCAATTCTGTCAGATCCTCCCCAGGAATTTAGATTTTAGGGGAACGGGGAGATTTAAGGTATACAAACCATGAAGGAATTTTCAGACAGGTGTACGTAGCTGACTCCGTATGACAGGCAAATACGTTTAGAAAACTGAAAAGAACCACTAGCTATGGATTGAGACCTCAGGAAATTTTGTTTGCAGACAGAGAACAGTTTTTACAAGAAAGGAATTTATTTTTTGCCATTATATACATATACATATACATAAGGAAGGGCATGTTTAATACTCTCAACAATATTTCTTAGAAAAATGTCAGAAATGAATTTTAGGGCCTTTTTTAAATTTATGGCATCATCAAAAACATGGTCATTGAAATACTAGTAGAAAATGTTTCTTGTATATGAACAATGTTGTCAACATTTAATATAACAAAAATCAACCCCTTCAGACAAGCAGTGTAACCAAGGCTTAAAAACTTTCTTCTTGAAACAAAAAGAAAAAAATAAAAATAAAAAGCAAGCAGCAACACCACCAAAAAAAAAAAATCACTAGTTATGTTCTTTCAAGGAATTCTGTTTGGTAGAAAAAATAAGAGTGATCTTGGGACTGTAGAAGACGTGGGAAAGAGGTCAGGATGAACCAGTTTACAAGTGCTGCTTCTTCCCTAAAAATCATATGGCTCCAAGTGAACCGTACACCAATTGCAAATACAGGCTGGGTACGAATTTCACTCAAAGCAGCAATTTGAAACAATCCGTGTTTCACGTGTGCCCAGAAAACACAAACACTAATTACCATTCCAATGGCTAATGTTTAAAGGAAGCACTGGAGATGCACATGGAAGCCAAGTGAAAACTAGCTAGGCCTGCTAGTGTCTTATAATTTAAAGTGCTCCCAGGCAAACACTTTTCCCCAAGTGCCAAATCAAGATTTTTCAGAATACAAAGAACTACAGTTGCATGCGGTGATGGCATTTTAGGAAGGGGGTGGGTGGGAAGCGTGGAGATCGTAGCCCACCCAGGAGGGACTGAAAAGCAAGATTCGACTCTCCAGTTACTGAGCATTTTGAGCTCTCATCAGGAACCAGTCGTTTTATGATGAAACGTTTCATTACAAGCTTGTAATGGGTGCATATTCTCATCAATACTTACCTCTTTCTCATTTCATTAAATATTGGTTTTCTAATTTTCCCTAAATTAGAAATTTCTCATTTTCAAAGTGTTTATGGAACAATTTGCATTTTTCTCCATATGTTGTATTGGGCAGAGACATACAATAATTTCCTGAGAAGCGGTAATCACTTAAGATACTGCAGGGTCTCCTTGATACAAAAATCACGAGATCAGATCAGTTAAAAAAACCCCTAATGAGACTGCCAGTATAACGAACACATCCTTCATTACCGATTATCAAATTCTCGGGCAAATTTGCTGTATTTGTAAATCTCACGAGGCAAAACACTTAATACAACAAATATTCAATAACTTCATTCCAGTAGCAAAACACTGTTACCCAAATTATCAACGGCCACCAAACATTCTCCTTCCGGGCCCTTTTCCGAGCAACACCAGAACCACCTCAGGGGCTCTTGCTATAAAAATACCAATGTTGGTTTTAAAATAAAACCAAAGCAGCAGAACTTTTTTTCCTTATAAAATAAACAATGTCTTCTTTTCTTTACCTGTTTAAAAGTGTGGCACTTTTTTTTTTCTTTGCCTAAACCCTGAGGGGGAAGTTAATACAATTCAAAAATTCTTTTCTCTCAAAATACATACTGCAGATGATATGTATAAAACTTTTTTTTTTCTTTTTAAAAAGATAACTTGTGAAGTTACCGTTTACAAGCTCTCCGTAAAGGGAAGAGGGGAAGCTTTAAAAAGGGAAAGAATCGTCAAGAAGAAATGTTCATAAAATCCACTCTGAATACTTGCTAGCGACGGGCAGGAGGTGCCATTCCCCATCTCGGTAACTCCGGCGGTCGTAATTCAGCTCCAACCTCCATAGTTCCTGTCATCATGGTAATGCTCTTCCCAGTTCCCCCGGAAGCTGTAATTTGAGCCGCAGTCCGCAAGCCGCCTCTGCTCCTGGCCGTGGTGCCTGTGGCCAGACTGGTACGGGTGGGAGCTCACTCTGCCCTTGCGGGGAGGCTCCGAGCGCCAGTGCGCTGGGGAGGCCGAGGACCGGGGGAAGGAGTAACCCTGCTGGCCTCCAGGCAAAGACTCAGGAAGTGAAGAGTTGTGTCTTCCGCCGTACGATGGGCCCTGCTGCCACGCCAAAGTCATCTGGATAGGGAGGCAAGAGGCCTGAGTCAGCAGGAGTCTTCAGAAAGAGGGGTGAGGAGAGGAGGGCCCTGCTACCAAGAAGAATTCCCACGGCAGGGGCAGGCTCTGCCGAACCCCCGTGTCCACCCCCCTCCTCTCAGCTAAGGATGGCAGGAAGGCTTCTCAGCCCTTAACTGCAGCCCTGTTGTGAAAGTGCAGAGTGGAAGTATTGTCTGCTAAGCCAAAGAGGCTCAGAAGAAAATGTCCTTCCTGTTTTGAACCTCCCGGAGATCTACAGCAGGAGTCTTCAAATCTGGGCTTGGCTGTCTGAGGGATTCTGGGAGCTGAAGTCCACAAAAGTCTTCACAGTTGCCAAGTTTGGAGACCCCTGCTCTAGAAGGAACCAAGGAGGAGGAGGCCTGAGAAAGACAAAGTTGCAGCAAGCACTGCGAAGAGACAATATGAGCCATCAATGTAACACTTTCGGTTTTTTTACTGCCCTTGCGTATAAACTCTGTACAAGGAGTTCCACTGGAGCATTCATAAAATCTTTGGGAGGCAGTTGTCATACAAGGAAGTAAGGAAGTAATCCTTAGAGTGTGAAAAGAAAAAAAAAAGGCTTAGAAAAGCTAGTGGAATTGTCAAGTTTGATGTTACTTCAGGTAACTGCAGCATGAAATAAACACGGCTGATGTTGTAGGAATTCTGCATGTAAGAAAAGAACGCTGGCCCGAGAGGAAAATACAGGCTCACATCCCATCTGTGAAGGGACCACAAGGGACCTGTGCTGTTCCCTTCCAAATCACACTGGGGAGGACCACTCACCATGGCCTTTGTTTGATGGTTATCAAGAGGGGAGAAGGATCTCTGGCCAGCCGACATGTTCTCGGTGTTCCTCTCGAACCTGTTACATCAAAATCAGAAATTAGCTGTACTAATCTTAATAAAGTTGGCATCTGATTTTATTTTTCCCCCCAAGGAACCACATTCCATATATTTGTAAACTCACCATATATAAAGCACCTCTTTAAAGAAAATAACCAGTTTTATAACAGGCACATTTGTCAAATGACTCAGGAGACCTAGTAATTATTTCAAATCATGGATCATAATTCAGTATTCTGAAAAGTATTCAGAACATTTAATGTGGTTTTGAAATATTTTTTAAATAACATGCTTCTTTCTTTTAGCGCTATCGTTTCATGACTTTCATTTTCCACCCTGACTGGACTGCACAAATTATGCCCATTTAACAGCCAGCAAAGAAGTCTTCCCAAGCCTACCTATTGCTGAATGCTGCTGCCAGAAGCTGTGGACTGGAGGGGTTTCCGTTTGCAAATCCATGTGGGGCACAGGGCGAGGCGACCTCCTGAGATGCATGACTGCTCCCTGAAAGACATTTTGGAAGACGAACTAAAGCAAAAGACTCTTGAGGGAGACAAAACTGCGAGATGCCAGCAGCCAGAAACCAAGATGGAGCAATTAACTGGCTCTGAAGTATCACACCAGAGAACTAGCACAGCACACAAACAGATTTCCAAAACAAATGTTGCAACCTCCTGAAATACCCAGTAGGTGACAATGCAATCGCAATGCAACACTGAAGACACCAAAGCCCAAGTTAATTGCAAATCCCATGTCAGATGAAAATGAACCGTCCTGAGCTGAAAAAGAACTTAAGGACATTCTTTCAAACAAATACATCAGCCCCATTCTGCAAAAGTTAAAGCAGAAGTGAGATTTGTAGTATATTGACGCACTGAAACCAAGACTCCAGAATTCACTTCAGCAATGGGGCTGAATTGAGAATAAATTTGTTTTAAGTAGAACATTTGTGGGAACAGCAGATTGTACTTCACAACTGAACAACTCAAAATGCATACAGTGAAACAAAACAATCATTTGTAGGGCAATGATTTTAGGATCTTTATAATATTTAGAGGAATCATGTATTTAAATATGAAATTGACTAAAATTTAGAAGACCCCAACATTGACAAACCATCCTCTTCTCAAAAGAATTATTAGTTCATGTTAATACACAGACAGTAATTATCATATCAGTATTATCATATCTTCTACCTAAAGTCTGGCAACTGTTTAATCCAGCATGGTTACACACAGCAATTAGCTCTAATAGTTTACACACTAGAGCGCGAAGGGAAGTGATAAAATCTTTCTACTTTACCAAGATCATCTAGGCTGCTTGAAACATTTTATGGATACCTGATCGGAACTGAATTTTGAGCGGTCTCCCAAAAAGTTTGATCCCATGAAGCAGACTCATGCCATAGGGAACAGATTCTTCGTGTTTGAAATTCACAAATGCAAACTGTTTTGGTTTCCCATCCCTGTCCTTCGGGATCTTTACTTTAATGACTGGGCCTGCCTGCAAACCAAGAAACAAAACAAAACATTAAATAAAACGTTAAATAAAAGGAAGGATAGATAGATAGATAGATAGATAGATAGATAGATAGATAGATAGATAAATAGAACATCTCTTTCCTGGCATATATGTCTCTTAACATACCAAGGAAGAGCCTTGGTAGTACAGTGGTCTAAGGCACCCTGTTATTAAGCTGGTTATTAAGACCAGCTGCCTGCAATTACTGCAGGTTCGAATCTCGCCAGGCTCAAGGTTGACTCAGCCTTCCATCCTTTCTAAGGTAGGTAAATTGAGGACCCAGTTTGTGGGGGCAATAAGCTGACTTTGTATAAATATACAAAAGGATGAAGGCTATTGCTGAGCACATTGTAAGCCGCCCTGAGTCTCCGGAGAAGGGCGGCATATAAATCAAATTAAAAAAAAAAAAAAACACGCTGTTTCAAACAAACCTCTGAAGAGGGGCAGCACTTGCCAATCAGAGGATATTGTTATAGGTTGGTGATGGTGCAAACATGAAATGCTCTGAAGTTTAGGTTTTAAAAGCCTCCTTGCAAGGTCCCTTCCCTTCCCACTCTTTTAATCCATAGAGCTATTTTTCCACCCCTGATTTCACCCATTTCCAGTTTTGACTTGATCCCCCCCACCCCCTCCCCCCAAAATGTGCCCATGGAGTCAGTCCATCCATTTGGCTTAGCCACTCCCTGCTCCTTCGTCTAAAGGAGGGCAGAGGGGGCACCCCCACCCCCCACCTCCTCTTCCTCTTCCTCCAGACCCTGGAAGTGGTGCTTGGGGGGTGGGGGGAAAGAGAAGATTGTTTTTTATTTATTTAGATCCAGATGCCACGCAAAGTCACCCATAAAGCGACTCTGTGGGGTTGAATTACTTGCATGGTCGTGAATCGTCATAACCAGGAAGGCGCCAAGAGGGGTCGGGCAAGGGAAATTGGGGGGGGGGGGGGGGGGGGGGGAGGGCCAGGGGGGGGGGGGGGGGAGGGGTCTCCATAAAAAACGCCCCCCTCCTCCTCCTTCTTCCCTCCCTAGTTCTTCCCCAGAAGGACCCTCGCAGCGTTTGGCTCTCCCTCCCTTCCCCCCCTCCCCACGCAGAGCTGCTACCTTGAAGAAGCCCCCCCACCCGTGGCTGGGGGCCCTTGGGGGGGGGGCGACGGAGGGGGGGCATCCTGAAAGCATCTCCTCCTCCTCCTCCCCTCCCTTTCTCAGCCAGCCGGCCTACCTCACAGGGGTGTCGGCGGGCGCGGGGGAGGCCTCCGATGAAGCGCTCCCTTTCTCTTCCCCTCCCCCCCCCGCCCACGCGCGGCCTACCTCAGAGGCGGGCCGGGGAGAGGAGGAAGAGGAGAGACCCCCCCCACCCTCGGCAATCCCCCCCTCCTCCTCCTCCGGCCTCCGTACCTGGTGGAAGAGCTCGAAGACCAGCTCCTCGGTCACGCGGGGGTCGAGGTTGCCCACGAAGAGCGTCCGGTCCGCCTCCGCCGCTCCCATCGCCTCAGTCCGCCGTCGGCTCTGCGGCGCATGCGCACTAACAAGAGGAAGCATAAAACCGGAACCTCGAAATGTCTCGCGAGGCCTCGGCGGCCCCACCCCACCCACAACCCCGAACCGTGCAAACTGCGCAGGCGCAGAACGCAAATTCGCCTTCCGGAACAACTTGGAAGAGGGACGGCGAGCGAGGAGAGCCAAAAGAGCCAGATCAGCGCGCGCGCGCTGGCGGGGAGAAAGCCCCGCCCCGCCTCTCCGAAAGAGGGCGAGTCTGAGCAAACTGCGGCCCGATTTGAATGCGTGTCTCCGCCCACTCTGCGGGAGTCCCAGGTGGGATTGAGAAGGGAGCCGTAAAGGAGGATTTTACGACAAAAGAAAAAAAAAAAGAGGCAACCCCCTCTGAAAAATTTATTTTATTTTATTTTATTTCGAATTTACATACCGCACCTTCTCCCAAAGGACTCAGGGCGGCGTACAGCCAGATAAAAACATACAATACAAATTAAAAACAATTAAAAGAATATATATTAATTTGGCCCCAGTTTAAAATGATTTTCTTTAACAGATGAAGAGAGTTGGAAGGGAACCTTGGAGGTCATCGAGTCCAGCCCGGGGAGACAGGAGGAGCTGCTTCCCCTGAGCACAGCATTTGTGCTGCTGTAGAAAGTCAGCGCCCACCCCACTCCTGGAAGAATGAAATATTCTAGGAAATATTAAAAAGGCAGAATATTATATTTCCAAGGTTGAGAAAAGGATAAACATGTTTTTGAAGCCAAAGAGCAGCTCCCTGCAGCTCCCTGCCCTCAACGGATATTTGGTGCACCTTAAGACTGGACCAGCCTATCTGCAAGACAAAAGACCTCCACCCTCAGGACAATAATAGGATTTAGCCCTCTACTCATCTAGCAGCAGAGCTCGCCACATGGCATCTGGGAATGTTGCATCACCCAGCAAGCTTCAACCAAGCCTGGGACACAGACAGCCGAAAAAGTTAGCTAGAATCCCTGCCCCTGGGAGTCAATAGGATACTTGCCTTTGCCACAGGAACAGGAAGGTCAAGTTCAAAGCCCAAGGGAGGGTATTGTTGGAAGAAATCTCCTTCTGGGTTCAGCTCCAAGTGGGGAAAAAGACACTGGAAACATGGAGACTGCTTGGAAAGATGGTTTAATGGTGGACAGGATCACATGGCTTGAGTTCCTGAACAGAAAAGGGCCAAATACAGCGAGTCCACGGGTTTTTATGCTCTTTCTGGCTTTGCATTTCGTGGGCCCCCCGAAAAGAGTATCCTGATTGGTTGTCAGACTCCCAGGGGGTGGGGGTCTTAGCTAGCCTTGCTGGCTGATGGTCACATGTGCTTCCCAGGTCACATGTGGGGAGTTTCTGCTGCTATTGTGTAGAGGGCTAATCCTATCTATGTTGGATCTTTGGCATTTCCTACTATGGCTCTGCCTGAAGGAGGTAGATCTTTGTTATGTAGAGAAGAGACTGGCCCAGGCCTTAATGGCCCATTGACAAAGGGTGGGGGCAGGAAGATGGGAGCTGCTTCAAAACATGCTTATCCATTTCTCATCCAAGGAAATATAATATTCTGCCTTTTTCATATTTCCTAAAATATTTCACTCTTCCAGGAAAGGGGTGGGTGCTAACTTCCTACAATATAAATATATATATCTCTCTCTCCACTCAATGTGTTCAGCTACCCAGAATCACACGTGCTTGGTGGTTCTGCTTCACCATTAAACCATCTTACCAGGCAGCCTCCATGTTTCCAGTGTCTTTCTCCCCATTTGGAACTGAACCCAGATGGACATTTCTTCCAACACTGCTTTTCATTGTTGGAAGAAACTTCCTTCTGGGTTCTGCTCCAAGTGGGGAAACAGACACTGGAAACATGGAGACTGCTTGGAAAGATGGTTTAATGGTGGACAGGATCACATGGCTTGAGTTCCTGAACAGAAAAGGGGCAGATACAGAAAATCCTCGGATTTTTATGCTCTCTCTGGCTCTGCATTTCTTGGGGCCCCAAAAGAGTATCCTGATTGGTTGTCAGACTCCCAGGGGGTGGGGGTCTTGCTGGCTGATGCAATCTTCCCAGGTGCCATGTGGTGAGCCTTGTCTAGATGGGTCCCATTGTGTTAGTTTCTGTTGCTATTGTGTAGAGGGCTAATCCTATCTTTCGCAATTCCTACTATGGCTCTGCCTGAAGGAGGTAGATCTTTGTTATGTAGAATAGACTGGCCCAGGCCTTAATGGCCCATTGACAAAGGGTGGGGGGCAGGAAGGTGGGAGCTGCTTTGTCTGTAAAATATGCTTCTCATATTTCTGCCTTTTTCATATTTTCTAAAATATTTCACTCTTCCAGGAAAGGGGTGGGTGCTAACTTCCTACATCATGAGAACCATTGCTCTTGCATCAAGGTCTTCCTCAGGAGCTTCCTAAAGTAGCTGCCTCTTGATTCATTCCAGCCAACAGGAATCTTGGAAAGTGACCAGATCGAGGAGCTCGGGATGTGTTGCCTGCTGGCCGGCAGGATAACTCCCCAAAAACTTCACAAGAGGTGACCAAATTTAAGCCGTGGAGAGAAGCCAGCAAAAATGAGACTTGGTTCAACAAACGGGGTGCATCTGTGAGGGGGCTGCAGATCATTCGCCAGTGCGTCTTACCCACTCTGCCTAAGCTCCTCTCTTCTTTCCTCGAAGCATGACTCACGGATGCGCCCCCTTTAATGCTGCCCAGAGAATCCACAGAGGGACACAACACAAGGAAAGGAGATTTATTGATTCATTTAGCATATGAGCCGTGGTGGCGCAGTGAGTGGTCAGAGTACAGTACTGTAGGCTACATCTGCTGACTGCTGGCGGCCAGCAGTTTGGCAGCTCAAATCTCACCAGGCTCAAGGTTGACTCAGCCTTCTATCCTTCTGTGTGGTCGGTAAAATGAGGACCCAGATTGGGGGCCAGAGGCACTTACTCTGTAAATTGCTTAGAGAGGGCTGTAAAGCACTGTGAAACGGTATATATACATCCAAGTGCTATTGCTATTCTAACCGTTGAAAAGCAACATTGTTTAATTTAAAAATCAGATACAGGACCCATATATATCCACAGCTTAAGCCGGTCATGATGTGATCGACTGTTTGACGTGCGACCCTGCACATCAAGGAGGGCAGAAGCCAACACACAGAGAGAAAAAAAAAATATTTTCTTACACATTTTCAATGCACCTTTAGGAAAGGATCACAGAAGCCACGCGGTGTGTGTTTTCCCTAACTTGTATAACAAAATCCTAACAATGGTTTGGGAAGCCTCTGATGTTACATCAACAGCTGCCTTATTTCATGGGCTATATTCTGGGCAGAGGATGGCACCGGCCTTTTGCATCTGCTTCGGACGGGGGGCAGTTGATCCTGGTCTCCTCAATCCATTTAATGACAAAAGCCAGCCTGTCTCACTGCCTCTTCGACCTCCTTCTCCAGGTAAAGGAGAGAAGAAACGTCGTTGGCCAACCGTGTAGTAGTGCCTTCAAGGCTTGAATTGAACAGGAGGTGCCCCCCTGGTTTCAGGAGGGAACTGATGTTCCTGAAAGCGATCGGTATGTGGGGATGTCTTTGCAAGCCGTATCAAAGCACAGAGTAGAGAGCAGACAATCTGCAGGGAAGAAGCAGTGGGGCCAAAGGGTTGGGTTGGGGAACATCGCATTTCAGGTACCGCTTGACGGCTCTTCGGACTTTCTCTTCCTTCTCTGGCCATTTTTCCCTGGGGAGAAAGAGAGGAAGAATATGATGTACCTACCTCCAAACCTTTGTCAACCTAAAGTTGCCCTCTTTTCATGGATGGAGAGATAGGTCAGGTTTCCCAGGTCTTGCTATCCTTCAAGAACAGGAATCCCTTCTCTCTGCATGAATTCCTTGTTGCCTGGATTCAAATATCACTCTGGAACCTGGAAGGTTTAGGGCAGTGTCCTCTCAACCTTGGCAACTCTCCAAATGTGTGGACTTCCTCTCAGAATACTCATCTTTCTCGCAGGCAGGACTAAATTACTGTCTCCTAGAAACAGATCTCTCTGGATCCAACGTTAGTCATTTGACTTATATTGTTTAGGGGATGGCTCCTCACACATTATTTTACAGGTTTCTAATTTTTTTTAAGAGCTGTAACTATTAGAGGAGAACGCTGTAATTCCTCTCAGCCAAGGCTTCTGGTAGCCAACTGTTCATGATGTTTCCCCCAACGTTCTTTTGCAATTATATTTGTTTTTTGGTCTGTGACCACAAATAAAAGTTAATAATACTCATCTTGCTCTTAGTCCGACACAAGAAGAAACAGAGATGGAAATCAATGGTGGGCTTTGGCTAGAGAAACCCTGCTTAGATACAGGTCCCACCAGGAGAAAGAGCTTGGGAAGGGGAGGCTCAAAAAAGACATGGACCATGAGGAGATGACCCTACAGGTTCTTCTGAAGCACTGCAGAATAATTGAAAACAGAAACCAAGTCTGGGACAACTGGTTTTCCACTTCTGCTCAGAAGAAATTGTGGGCTTGTTGCCACTTTTCTTTCCTAGCAGAATGGACACAAAAGTCATGTCTCAATCTTGGCAGAATCTAGTGAGAAGCTTTCTGAAAGAGAGTCAATAGAAGATAGAATAGAAAAGAATAGAATGAGAGAGAATAGAATAGAAGAATAGAATAGAATAGATAATAGAATAGAATTTTTATTTTCCAAGTGGAGATTTTGACACACACAGGAATTTGTCTTGGTGCATATGCTCTCAGTGTACATAAAGGAAGATACGTTCACCAAGCAAAATCATAAGGTACAACACTTAATGATGGTCATAGAGTACAAACTAAGCAATCAAATCATACATGCAACTTTCAATGTGGACTCTTCTAGTCTGTACAATTATTCCCCATTAAGATCCTGATTGCAAAATCTCGCCTGCTGCATTTTCATTCTCCTCACACGGGCAGATTAGCCAAAGTTGATAGAAAAGGATCTGGTTGCTTCCCTAGTTGAATCTTAATTAAATGATGTCTTTGAAAGGTGTCAAAATCAAGAAAATTATACCTACCTGTCTCCCTCCAACTCACAGAGACGTATTTCACGATGGGGGTCCAGTCAAAGCCACCGGCTCCTTCTTCAGCCATCGCTGCACCTCCTCCCCAGTTCTGGTCAGTGTTATCGGTGGCTATGATCTCTCGGAAGGACTCGCAGGCATAGAAGAGAGAAATTGGTAGAAAGATGGAATGCGCCACTGCCAATGTCGATCAGGGTGTCTCCCTTGATGCATCTGGAGCCATCGCCAATCCATACAAGCAGAATTTTTCAAGCTTAGTACTGCTTTGGGTCCTTTGTATCTGTTGCATGCCCCTGAATATAGTTTCCCCCATCTAAACTTCCCCAGAAAGCACCAGAAACCCTTTGAAGATGATCCTGGAGACCACTGTATCATCTGGCAACTCTTCCTCTCTTCATGAGATTCGCCACGAATCACTTTATCCACAACCCACCCATTTCCCCTCTCTCCAGATAAAAATAACCAGTTCCCCATCTAAACTAACAACAGCTTTAGAGACCACAGACCAAATATGTTGGTCCACCCATTTCCCCCTCTCCAAATTCTTGGGAAACTTGTGTTTCATTTCCAGATCAATCTGCAGAAAAGGCCAAGTAATGGAACATAGAATTATAGGGCTGGAAAGAATATTTCTGAACACTTTGGCATCTATCTTTTGTAAGCTACTTTCATTCCTTGGCTGTTTGTACCCTCAAGATATCATCTAAGTGATGCAAGTTACAATCAGCAGAATTGTGAAGATGAAAGCATGACTTTGAGATCCGCCTCTTGGTTCCTCCTGACCATCTCAGATCAACAAGCATTCCTCACGTTGAGGTTAACATTGGGGAAGTCAAGACTTACCTATGGTGAATGCCCTGTGGGCCCCTTTCAGGAAAAAGGCTAGAAACTGACCCACTCCTTCATCCACAAGGCTAACTTTGTAGTACTTTTCCAGATGGTCTCTGGGATCAAAATGCTCAGTGTAAAAATCTTTCCCTGTGTAAGGCTCTTCCATCATCCCAAAAATACTTTCACCAACTGCTGGGCTCTCCTTTCATGCTCTGAGGGTTATTATACTTTGGTCTTCGCTGGCTCCACCTCCTCATTTCCCTTACAGATTGCTCTCTCAACAAAATTCACCTTTGCATGTTGTAGCGTGAGCATCGTGCCTACAATTAGAAGCCAGGGCCTGACCTGACCTGAAACAAGATGTTCTCCCTTGAAAAGGAAGCATGGGATTGGCGGATCCCCCACTAAAAAACAATATACCTCCAGTCCCAGGAGGGATGTGAGTGCATAACGTGTCAGTTTGAAATGGGCGAAATGGGAGAAGACATACTGTACCCAAAATCTGAATAGGAAGTCACGAGGCTTGGCAACAGAGGCATTAATAAGAAATGCATTATTAGTGGTGTGGAATAAAATCAAACAACACAATTATATGAAAATACCAGTCTGATTCTGAATCCTAGAAGCATTGATACACCCAAACCTTATAAACATGGAAAAAATTGTTTCATATAAGGATATATTAAACGAGAAGTGTGAATTGAAAACCAGATTAGAATTAAAAGAACAAGGGGTGGGATTGGAGTGATGGTCATACCTGCAAATACAATCGTGTTACGTGAAGGATGTGAAAATATGGGGTATGTATAGAGAATTAACAATATTAGATAAACAACTAGTGGGGACCGATGACAAATTGATAAAGACAACATATAAATATTTACTAGACTATAAAATGGAGGAAGAACAAGTTAAAGAGACAATGGTTATATGGGCTAAAAATTTTGGATATAACATTGATTTGGATAACTGGCAAAAACTTTGGGAAAGAAACCGGAAATTGACATTGGTCACATCATATAAAGAGAATCTTTATAAAATGTTCTACAGGTGGCATCTTCCCTCAGCAAGATTGGCTAAAATGTTTAGCAACACATCCCCAAATGTTGGAAATGTAAATACTCACCAGGTACATACTATCACATGTGGTGGACCTGTAAAAAAGCAAGGAAATTTTGGTTACAAATTTAGATGTGGCTAGAAAGAATGGTTGGACAACGTATAGAATTTAAGCCAGAACTATTTCTATTAGGCATTATAACAGATGGCTATAGTAAAGGGTCAATATACCTAATATTATATAGAATGGTATATGCTCAGCAATGGAAAAGTGAAAACACCCCTCCAGAAAAGGAGATAATAAGAAAGATATTAGTATGCACAGAAATGGATAGATTAATGTTAGAATTAAAAAACAAAGGAGAGACAGAATATTATGACACATGGAACAGATTTTATCAATGGCTGGAAACACAAGGTGGGAGTCAGAACACAAAACAATTAGGTTAAGTAGACCCAGAATGAGACATTATATATGTACCAGAATGAATACATTGGTCAAAAATAACTGTACAAGACTGGTCACACTGGGTTCGATATAATTATATGTAAGCCTCATGGGGGATGAAGGCCAATTCCACGCCTGTCCGACTCTTCCTTGGCACTTAGGACTGGGGAAGGTAACAGCCTTTCTATTTTGGGACCGGATGCCAGTGCAAGGGCCCGGGTTCCCTGGAGGGCAGCTTTGCAGAGGGCAGCAGAATCCCTTCAGTGTCTCATGGCTGTGGCATCCTGGCTTAGTCCAGTGAGAGACCTGGAAGGCTGCAGAGCAGACGGAAACACGAGAGGGCATTCGGGGTTGCATGCCTGGATGCCATGCCAAAGGGGCCTATGAAATGAAGTCATAATCCAGGACCAAAAGTAAAAGAAAGGCATTTCTCAGTTCCCTGGGAATAAATCAATTACTTTCATAGCTTATTTCCAGGCTTTGAAGTCTACCCACCTTTGAGCTGCCAAGGAACCAAAGCAGCTTCTGGAGTCATAAAAACCAGCTGAATCACCCAGCAGAGCCTGGGGCTGCCTGGGGTCCAGAAGGAGCATTTATGCCCAGGAAGAGCAGGCAACTTTGGCACCAAAGAAACTTCTGCTGCCTCACTCATCCGATGGGCCACAAAATTAGCTTGGCAGACACTGACTGTCAAGTGAAGGCAGCTCAGCTCTGCACCAATCCATCATTTTTCTCCTTTGGCACAAAACTTGGCCAACCGCCTCTTTTGGGCACGAGTACAGGAAGGTAGCCTGGCCCCTGCCTTGTTCTGCCTCATTGCCAGCTGCAGTTCCTTGTCCCGACCTGCTCCACAATTTCTGCTTCTGCAGATTGCATGGGGCAGTTCCTGGCACAAGGGTGCATGTGGGCAGTCTGAGCCATGCCAAGGGTCATGGGACCTATCAAGGTGGAGGAGTGGATTGGTTCATGATCCTGAACCAGCTCTGGAACGCAGCTGCTTCGCAAAGCATCCTCCCCGTGTCCTGGCAGACAAACTCTAGCAGACACTCTCAGCTGGAAGCATCGCTGGCCCTGCCTGGCCAAGGAACCGGAGTGCAATATGTTTTCCTCAACCCTGTGAGAGCCAGATGTGTTTGGGAGACATTTAGAGGTGGGGCCCTGGGCAGAGGCAAAGTGGGTAAGAGCAAGGGGGCTGAGGAAGGCTGCTTTCTCACCTCCCAGCAGCCAGAGGTGGCTCCGTGGCTGATCTGGTTCAGCATTGCCGGTCATTTGGGGCAGCAGAGAGAGAGGGATAGGTGGCTCTGACTTGGAGGAGATCAGCCTCAGAGAGGGCCACCCCTCGGCCACTGGGAGGGTAGCCAGGAAGAAGGGTGGGCAGCCTCAGAAAGGGCAGGGCTGAGGGCAGCCCAGGGCAACACATGCCCACAGAATCCACGTACTTAGGAAACAGAGAGACACAACACAAGGAAAGCAGAAACCAACACACACACACAGAGGCAAGGTGTTACTTTATTACACACAGAGCCATTTGCCAGATGCCTACTAGGAAAGGCAAGGAAAAGAGCATAGAAGCCATGTTGTCTGTGCTTTCCCTAACTTGTATAACAGATTCATGATGATGGTTGGGGAAATCTCTGGGTGTTACATTGACAGCTGTCTAACTTTCATGGGCTGCATTTCTGGGCAAGAAGGATGCACAGTTTCTTCCCATCAGCTAGAGAAGGGGGGATGTTGACCCTGGTCTCCTCAATCCACTTAATGACAAAGCCAGCCTGTCTCACTGCCTCTTCGACCATCTCCTTCTCCAAGTAGAGGGCAGAGAACCTGTGTTGGCCCACCATGTAGTAATGCTCCTCAAGCGTTGAATGAAAGAGAAGGTGCCCCCCTGGTTTCAGGAGGGAACTGATGTTCCTGAAAGCCGATCGGTAGGTGGGGATGTCTTTGCAAGCCCCATCGAAGCACAAACTGGAGAGCAGGCAATCTGCAGGAGGAAGAACCAGCGGGGCCAAAGGGTTGGGTTGGGTCACATCGCATTTCAGGTATCGCTTGATGGCTCTTCGGACTTTCTCTTCCTTCTCTGGCCATTTTTCCCTGGGGGGAAAGACAGGAAGAATGTGACCTGCCTACCTCCAAACCTTGGTCACTCTGGAGTTGCCCTTCTTTTCATGGATGGAGATAAGTCAGGTTTCCCAGGTCTGCTGTCCTTCAAAAACAGAAAAGATCTTCTTTGTAGAAAACCTCCTTCTTGCCTGGATTCAAATATCAATCTGGAAAAGCCAAGGACAGTATTCCTCAACCTTAAGTCTTAAGATATATGGGCTTCAGATCCCAAAATTTCCCAACCACTACAAGGAACATTCAATTAAGGTTGGGTCCCCATATAGGTGCCACCACCCCGTGTAGGTGTCACCGCGGTCCCAAATCTTCATCTTGGCACTACCTACCTGACAGATGGAGAGGGCACTATAAATTATTTCAATAAATGAATAATGAGCCATTGTGACTACGTCATCCTAAAAATCCCATGATTTAAGGTCAGATGGAAATAGGTGATGGCAGCCTTTCTGTCATGAAGTCTCCTCTCTCTCATCTTAGGGTTGCTGTGGAAACGGTCAGTTTATGTGTTCAGTTAATCCCTTCCTGAGCAGCACATGGATTCCCACTGCCTTTCTCCAGTAGGAAGTGGCTGGAAAAGAACCACTCGGACCCAGAGAAGACATGGACCATTGAGGAGGAGATGACCCTGCAGGTCCTTCTGAAGCACTGCAGAAGAATTGAAACAGAGACTGAGCCTGGAAGAATTGAGTCTCCACTCCCCATTTGCCCAGGAGAGACAATGAACGGGTTGCCAATTTGCTTTCTTACCACAGTGGGCACAACTATCTCAGCAGAATCTAGTGAAGCTTCCTGAAAGAGAGTCCCTTTTGGTGCTTCAATGTGGACTCTTCTGGTCTGCACAATTATTCCCCTGATAAGCTCCCGATTGCAAAACCTCTCCTGCTGCATTTTCATACATGGACAGATTAGCCAAAGTTGAAAGAAAAGGATCTGGCTGCCTTCTCTAGTTGAATCTTAATTAATCTTATAGTCTTAAAGATTTTCAAAGGAAAAGCTAAGTTCTTCCTCTACTTACCTGTCTCCCTCCAGCTCACAGACGTATTTCACGATGGGGGTCCAGTCAAAAGCCCCCGGCTCCTTCTTCAGCCATCGCTTCACCTCCTCCCAGTTCTGGACAATGTAATCACTGGCTATGATCTCTCGGAAGGACTCACAGGCGGAGAGGAACTGGTGGATGGTTGGCCCACTGCCAATGTCGATCAGGGTGTCTCCCTTGATGCCATCTGGAGCCCATCAAGCCAAATGCAGAATTTTTCAAGGTCAGCCTTCTTTGGGTTCTTCCTATCCGCTATTCTGCACGCTGGTACCTATTTTCCCATCTGAGCTGCCCCAGAAGAAGCACCAGAAACCCTTCAAAGAATTTCCTGGAGGCCACCTGATCACATGGCAACAACCCTTCTCTTCTTTGCATTCCCATGAACCTGTTTCCAAGCCGGCCATTTGCTCATTTCTCAAGAAGAACACACATGTGAAAACTTTTGTCCACAAGACAATTGTCTGGAAACTGTTTCAACTCCTCCTGGACATGCAGGAGAACCTATCGTTCTGGACAACTGTCTGTCTAATGCGTTCTTAAAAACCTCCAGTAATGGAGCACCCACAACTTCTGGTGGCAAGCTGTTCCACTGGTTAATTGTTCTCACTGTTAGGAAGTTTCTCCTTAATTCCAGATTGCTTCTCTCCTTGATTAGTTTCCATCTATTGTTTCTTGTTCTGCTTCCTGGTACTCTGGAAAATAGCTTGACCCCCTATTTCTTGTGGTGGCTCCTCACATATTGGAAGACTGCTATCATGTCACCTCTAGCCTTTCTCTTCGCTAGATTAGACATTCCCAATTCCTGCAACCATTCTTCATATGTTTTAGCCTCCATCCCCCTCTTCTATGCTCTCTTTCTAGAGTCTCAACATCTGTTTTCTATCATGGTGGCCAAAATTGGATACAACATTCAAAGGGTGAATATGAACGAAAGAGCTTGCGTTGTGCCTCCTGGCTCCTCCTGACCATCTCTGACCAACAAGCGTTCCTCACCTTGAGGTGAAAATTGAGAAAGTCAGCACTTACCTAGGCTGAATGCCCTGTGAGCCGCTTTCAGGAAACAGGTTAAAATTTGATCATCTTCAACGTTAAGTTTATAATATGTTTCCAGATAATCTTTGGGAAGAAAATTCTCAACATAGAACTCTCCCTCTGTGAAAAGCTCCTCCATCATCCTAGAAAGTCTTTTGCCAACTGCTTTCAAGGTCTGAGCTTTATCATATTTTTATCTTGGTTAGCTCCACCCCCGTTGCAGGCTGCAGCCTGATCGTTTTGCCCACCGCCTGCCAACTGATTTGAAGCCAGGACCTGGGCTGTCGTCTCCCTTTTATGCAGTCAGATGTTCTCCCTTGGAAAAGAGTCAGCAGAAGGCCTCCTTCCTCTCCCATCAAAGGAGGGGAGTGGGTCCTCTTGTCGGAGAGCAGGAGAGGCCTGGCAGAGAATAGGGCCTTGGTCACTCTGGAGTTGGCCTTCTTTTTATGGATGGAGATAGGTCAGGTTTCCCAGGTCTGCGGTCCTTCAAAAACAGGAAAGATCTTCTTTCTAGAAAATCTCCTTCTTGCCTGGATTCAAATATCAGTCTGGAAAGGTCAAGGACAGTATTCCTCCACTTTGGCACAATTAAGATGTATGGCTTTCAACTCCCAGAATTCCCCAGACAGCACAAGGAACACTGGTCTGAGGACCCTACTGAGATACAGGTCCCGCCAGTAGAGAGAGCTTGAGAAGGGGAGGCCCAAAGAAGACATGGACCATTGATGAGGAGATAACCCTGAAGGTCCTTCTGAAGCACTGCAGAAGAATTAAGACAGAGACCAAGTCTGGAACAACTGGTTCTCCACTTCCCATTTCCCCAGGAGAGATAGTGAACTGGCTACATTCTTCCTCTACTTACCTATCTCCCTCCAGTTCACAGACATATTTCACGATGGGAGTCCAGTCAAAAGCCCCCGGCTCCTTCTTCAGCCATCGCTGCACCTCCTCCCGGTTCTGGTCAGTGTAATCGGTGGCTATGATCTCCCGGAAGGACTCACAGGCGGAGAGGAACTGGTGAATGGTTGGGCCGGTGCCAATGTCGATCAGGGTGTCTCCCTTGATGCCATCTGGAGCCCATCAAGCCAAATGCAGAATTTTTCAAGCTCAGTTTACTATCTGCTATTCTGAACACTGGTGCCTATTTTCCCATCTGAGCTGCCCCAGAAGAAGCACCAGGAGCCCTTCAAAGAGCATCCTGGAGGCCCCCTGATCACATGGCAACAACCCCTTCTCTTCTTCGCATTCCCATGAACCTATTCCCTTCCCACCTCTTCTCCCCATCTCAATAAGAAATAAAGACATGTGAAAGAGATTGGGGAAACTTCTGCTTTGCATTTCATTTCAGATCAATCTGCAGGAAAAATCAAGAAATATTTGTGACCATTTTGGCATCTGCCTTTTGTAATCTACATCCACTTCATGGCTTAGACACCCTGAAGAGGACATCTAAGCGGTGCAGGTTATGATCAGCAGAATTGTGAAGACAAAAACATGACTTTGAGATTTGCCTCTTGACTCTTCCTGACCATCACTGATCATCAAGGCTCCCTCACTTTGAGGTTAAAGTTGAGAAAGTCAAGACTTACCTATGGTGAACGCCCTGTGGGCCCCTTTCAGGAATAAAGTGAGAATCTTCTTCAGTCCACCATCATCATCATCATCAAAGTTGACGTTATAATATGTTTCCAGATAATCTTTGGGAAGAAAATTCTCAGCATAGAAATCTCCCTCTGTGAAAGGCTCCTCCATCATCCCAGAAACTCTTTTGCCAACTTCTGGTTGCTCCCTTCAAGTTCTCAGTTTTATCTTATTTTTATCTTGCGTAGCTCCTCCCCCTGATTTCTCTTACAATTTGGTTTCTCAACAAAGGAGCCTGTTGCAGGCTGCAGCGTGATCATTTTGCCCACCACATGCCGAGAGACCTGAAGTCATGATCTGATCAGTCCTCTCCCTCTTACGCAATCAGATGTTCTCCCCTGCAAAAGAGGCAGCAGAAGACTTCCTTCCTCTCCCACCAAAGGAGGGGAGTGGGTCCTCTTGCCAGAGGGCAGGAAAGGCTTGTCAGAGACCAAGGTCTTTGGGACCAGGTCTTCCAAGATCCAGATCCACCTCCTGCTCTGATCACCCTACAGAGCAGAATGTCTTTTGGGGTCCTTTGTGAGACGGAGGGGGAGGTGGATGGGGGCTGCGGGGGAGGGGGCTTGAAGGTTTTCTCTTGCAGAAAAGCTTTTGTGTTTTTCCTTTCTTCCTAACTCCTGTGCTGGAGAGCAGCGTTATTATTCTGCCAGGCAATCCAGTCTTCCCTCTTTTGGATTCCTGTCCAGCCACCTTCCTTTCTCTCCTCTGCAGAGTGACAGAGAGAGGCACACCAATACATACACACACCAATACACACAGAGAGAGATGCAGGATGTTACTTTCTTACACGCAGAGCCATTTCCTACATGCCTACCAGGCATGTAAAAGAGCGCAGAAGCCACGTTGTGTGTGCGTTCCCTAAGTTGTATAACAAAATCATAACCATAGTTGGGGAAATATCTGGGTGTTACATCAACAGCTGCCTTATTTCACGTGCTACATTTCTCAGCAAGAAGGACACATCTCACCTTCCCATCAACTAGAGAAGGGGGAAGGGTGTTCCTGGTCTCCTCAATCCACTTAATGACAAAGCCAGCCTGTCTCACTGCCTCTTTGACCATCCCTTTCTCCAAGTAGAGGGCAGAGAACCTGTGTTGGTCCACCATATAATAATTATTCTCAACCGTTGAATGAAAGAGAAGGTGCCCCCCTGGTTTCAGAAGGGAACTGATGTTCCTGAAGGCCGATCGGTAGGTGGGGATGTCCTTGCAAGACCCATCAAAGCACAGAGTGGAAAGCAGACAATCTGCAGAAGGAAGAACCAGCGGGGCCAAAGGGTTGGGTTGGGTCACGTCGCATTTCAGGTACTGCTTGATGGATCTTCGGAGTTTCTCTTCCTTCTCTGGCCATTTTTCCCTGGGGGGAAAAGACAGGAAGAATGTGACCTGCCTACCTCCAAACCTTGGTCAACCTAGAATTGCCCTTCTTTTTATGGATGGAGATAGGTCACATTTCCCAGGTCTGCAGTCCTTGAAAAACAGGAAAGTTCTCTTCTGTGTAAATTTCCTTCTTGCCTGGATTGAAAAATCCTCAACCTTGGCAGCTCTAATGATGTGTGGGATTCAGATCCCAAAATTCCCCACCGGAATTAGAGTGGATTAGAGTTGGGTCCCCATGTAGCTTCCACTGTGGTCACCAATCTCTTTGTCTTGGCATCACCTATCTCACAGATGGAGGGGGTGCTATCAATTATTTCAATAATTTAATAATGAGCCCTGTGTGACTATGTCATCATAAAAATACCATAACTTATGTCTCTGAATAAAATATTGTGATGCAAAAAGATAATGGCAGCCACAGCTTCCTCTCTGGCACCTCAGGGTTGTTCTGCAAATTGTCAATTTATGTGTTCAGTTAATTCACTCCTGAGCAGAACGTGGATTCCCACCGTCTTTCTCCAGTTGGAACTGGCAACTGAAGAACCGCACTTTGTCTTATTAGGTTAGTGGGTGAGTCCACTGGGCAATGTGCCAACTGAAACAAGGAGGAGAACATCAAGGAGTGGAAGGTTGAATAGGCTGCAAAGTTTGGTACTTGTCTTTCTGAGTCCAGTGCAAGAAGAAACAAAGATGGAAGCCAATGGAGGGCTTTGGCTAGAGAGACCCTGTTTAGATACAGGTCCCGCCAGGAGAAGGAAATCCAAAGAAGACATGGGCCATTGAGGAGGAGATGACCCTGCAGGTCCTTCTGAAGCACTGCGGAATAATTGAAACAGAGACCAAGTCTGGAACAACTGGTTCTCCATTTCCCCTCTGCTCAGAAGGAACTGTGCATTTGTGGCCACTTTGCTTTCCTAGCAGAATGGACACAAAAGCCACGTATCAATCTTGGCAGCAGCTGATGAAGATTCTTAAGTGTGGACTCTTCTTGTCTGCACAATAATTCTCCATTAAGCTCCTGATTGCAAAGTCTTTCCTGCTACATTTTCAGACATGGACGGATTAGCCAAAGTTGAAAGATCTGGTTGCCTTCTCTAGTTGAATCTTAATTAATCTGAGTCTTGAAAGGTGTCAAAAACATAATTATACCTACCTGTCTCCCTCCAGCTCACAGACGTATTTCACAATGGGGGTCCAGTCGAAAGCCCCCGGCTCCTTCTTCAGCCATCGCTGCATCTCCTCCCAGTTCTGGAGAGAGTAATCACTGGCTATGATCTCCCGGAAGGACTTGGCTAATCTCAGGCATGTGGGCTTCAGTTCCCCCAATTGTTTTCAGCCAACAATGGAAACATTGGTCTAGGGGCATTTCCCCAACGAGCTGCCATGGCTCTGTTGCCAATCTATTTGTCTTGTCATCACAGATGAGGAGGGGGCTATAAATCATTTCAATAAATTAATAATGTCATCTTAGTGTGATGAAGTTTCTTCTCTGGCATTATAGTGCTGTTGTGGAAACGGTCAATTTATATGTTCAGTTAATTAAGAGTTCGGTTAATTCCTGAGCAAAACATGGATTCTCACTGGCTTTCTCCAGTTGGGGCTGGGAGGGGAAGGACCACTTCTTTCCTTATCAGATTAATGGACGAGTCCACTGGGCAATGGGCCAATTGCAAAATGGAGGAGACCCTCAAGGTGTGGAGGGTTGAATAGCTGCTACTTCCTGACTCTGATGCAAGAAGAAACAGAGATGGAAACTAATAGAGGGCTTTGGCTAGAGAAACCCTGCTTAGATATAGGTCCCACCAGGAGAGAGAGCTTGAGAAGAGGAGGCCCAAAGAAGACATGGACCACTGAGGAGGAGATGAACCTACAGATCCTTCTGGAGCTCTGCAGAATAATTGAAACAGAGAACAAGTCTGGAGCAACTGGTTCTCCACTTCCCATCTGCTCAGAAGAAACTGTGGGTTTATTGCCATTTGCTTTCCTAACAGAATTGCGCAAAAGTCATTCACTAACTTGACAGCAGCTGGCATGCTTCCTGAAAGAGAGTCTCCTTTTGTTCTTCAGTGTGGACTCTTCTGGTCTGCCCTGTTAAGCTCCTGATTGCAAAATCTCTCTGCTGCATTGTCATATATGGACAGATTAGCCAAAGTTGAAGGAAGAGCACCTGATTTTGTTCTTTGGCTGTGGCTAAATTAATTTTGTAGTCTTAAAGAGTTTCAAAACAAAAGCTACCTTCTTTTTTTTTTTGAAAAAAAATGTTTTTATTGAAAAATACAAAAAAAGCAATAAAAGAAAAAGAAGAAAAAGAAAAAGAACATATACATACACCAAACGGTAAAATACAAAACATAAATAACAACATTATATAATATTTTACAACTTTCTGCATCAACAGTTATCTATACTTTTTACATTCAATCTTCATAATCATTCACTTATTCTTGTATAATCATATTAAACATTCATTTAAACTAAATTATTATGTATACTTACATTCTATTTATTAACATAATATTTTATCCTTAATTCAATACTCTTAAATTCCGATTAGTCAAATTTCAATTTACACTCTTATTTCTTGTTTTGATTTCTATTTTCTATCCATGTATAAAATCTATTCCACACTTTATAGGAATCCGAATCATCCCTTTCTTTAATCTACATTGTCATTTTATCCATTTCAGCACATTCGAGGATTTAATTAATTACTATTTCTTCAGGTGGTGTATTGATCTGTTTCCACATTTGTGCCAGAGCGATTCTGGCCGCCATTAGTATATGCAATGTTATATAGTACAAACTTTTCTCCGTTTTCTTATCAATCATTCCTAGAAGAAACAACTCCGGTTTGAAATCAGTCTTTTGGAGTGTAATCTCTTCTAACCACCTTCTGATTTTATACCAAAATTTTTAAACACTGGGGCACATCCACCACATGTGGTAGTATGTTCCTAATTTATGGCCACATCTCCAACATTTAGGTGATAAATTGGTGTACATTTTTGCCAATCTGGCTGGAGCTAAACATAAAAGCTACATTCTTCTACCTACCTGTCTCCCTCCAACTCACAGATGTATTTCACGATGGGGGTCTGGTCAAAAACTCCCGGCTCCTTCTTCAGCCATCGCTGCATCTCTTCCCAGTTCTGGTCCGTGTAATCACTGGCTATGGTCTCCCAGAAGGACTCGCAGGCCAAGAGGAAGTGGTAAATGTCTAGTCCCACCTTAGGCCAAAGTTGATCAGGGTGTCGCCCTTGATGCCGTCTGGAGTATAGCAACCCAAACACAATTTTTCAAGACCCTTGGACAACATTTCCTTGACTATGTGCCTCTAATGTGGTTAACCTGCTAGCTTGGGTTGTGTTTTGCTAAAATGGTGGAGCTGCAGGAACAGTTAGAAACTCCAACACTGAAGTCTGTGCTCCATCAACTGAAGCACGATTTGTGGTGGTGATCCTTCATGTTAGGGAAACAGATTCAACAACACCTTTGGAATGAAAATTGCCTCTTTAAGGAATACATAACAACCCTCCTTTTTACATTCTTGAACTGGACGCTCTGTGTGTGTGTGTGTCCCCTTCAGAAACACCTTTTTCAATCTGTACATGTTATGCATTTTCATGGACACAACCATTTGTATTCCTCAGGCCTGCGTTTTTAATCAATAAATGCATTTTTGTAAATGTGTGATGCTACCCATATTTTAATATCTGTAAGATAATAACCTGAGCAAAATATTTACAGGCGTGTGGCCTTAAAATCTATTTTTGAGCCAGTTCTTTTGCATAGTTCACATATTTGCAAAAGGCACATTAGTCTTATGTTCTCGTCTGTGCATTAGTCTGAGATCATCAATTACACTGATTCCACTTAAAATGGGAGCCAATTTATCTCCACCAACTTCCACCTGTTAAAAACACTTACCTGAAGTGAATATCCTGTGAAGATTTTTCAGGAAGAATATTAAAAAGTCACTCTCTGCGTTATTTCCAGAGCTCAGGGTGTAATGTGATTTCAGAAAGTCTTTTGGAACAAAATGCTTAGCATAAAATTCCTTTTCTGTGAATGATGGCTCCATTTCCACCCGAAATCTTGCCAAAGACTCAATTCTCACTTGTTAGTTTGATTGGGTTGAAGGTTTTCAGGTGCCTAGTGGATGCCTCCAAATTCTGATGCCCAGAATTCCCCATTATGAAGTCTGTCCTCTTTACTGTTCCTTCTTCCTCATTCTTTTTGGTCAAAGCCTTTATCACCCTTTCCCACTATCTGACCTTTTTCAAAGGGGAGAAGAAGTAGATGCCTCAAAGGCCCAACATTTGGTTGCAAGCAGGACATTCTTTGGAGAGCAGCAGCTTTTATCGTTTCTCCCATGCTGAAGTCCTCCCCACCCACTCTTGGCTGGGTCGAAAATTAACTTGACTCCAGCATCAAGACTAAAAGCTCTCGACCCCCATGGTTCTCCATGGTTATATGTTCACAGAGAAGACACACTAGGTTTAAGAAAGATGCAACTTTCCTGGTGTCCGTTGTTGTTTTTCTGTCCCAAGGTCACCTGTGATCAAACAGGTATGTAGGTTTTTGCAGCAGAGCAAAATTTCAGGGAAGCAGAAGTCATATTCAAATGAGGAACACCATCATTGGTCAATGCAAGACAACAGTTGGGTTTTTAATCAGGGTTTGCTGTTGATCATTTTGTTGCATAACTCTACATTATCTAAACCAGCTTGGTCTAGTGGTGAAGGCACCAGTTTAGAAACCAGGAGACGGTGAGTTCTAGTCCCACCTTAGGTTCAAAAGCTGGCTGGGGGGCTTTAGGCCAATCACCAGGAGATAGTGAGTTCTAGTCCTACCTTCGATATGAAAAACCAGCTGGGTGACTTTGGGCCAGCTCATCTTTCTCAGTCCAACTCATCTCACCAGTTGGTCGTTGCCAGAAGCTAGGAGGAGGAAGGACTATTATGGTAGATGTGTTTGCTGCCTTGAATTGTTTATAAAGACAGGATAACAACGTTCTAAAGTAAATAAATAATAAATACATAAGTCCTCTTGGGAGAACTTTTGCTCTTCAAATCCGTCTGGCAATTTGCCAGTCTGCAAAAACTGGCACAACCAGTCAGACGCAGAAGGCTCCAAGAAATGCCCCTTGAAACCTTTCAGGAATGCAGTCCTGTCTACAACCTGCCCCAGAAGAACCCTCATCTGTGACCCACCGCTGAGCAGCTGACCTCCACTGATCTGCTTTGTTAGTTTGTAACTCGGTGTTGTTTGCAAACTCAGAAAATGAGTTACTTTGGTATAAAGGTGGAGGTGCCGGACTAGAAACTCAGTGTACATTGCAGTAGATGTTACGTTGGTGGCATTTTCAGAGGAAATGTTGTCTTCTACTGAGCTGTCTGAAATTCAGGAATAATCCAGTCTGGAACCCAGGGCCCTTTGTCCTCCTCCATGGGGCCTCTGAGTCTACAAAAGACAGAGATGGGATTTCCTGGGATCTGCTCTCTTCTCAGTTGCCCCTTGAATCTTGACAGACATGGCCAAGGGACTTGGGGCTCTCCAGGGCCTCCCCTTGGGCTGAGAAGGCTCTGGCTTGTGTTTGTCAAATGCAGATCATGTCACAGAACAACCAGGGGTGAAATCCAGCAGGTTCTGACAGGTTCTGGAGAACCGGTAGCGGAATTTTTGAGCAGTTCGGAGAAGAAGAGTGAAGAGCCTGTAGTACAGTGGACTAAAACACTGTTATTAACATCTGCTGCTTGCAATTACTGCAAGTTCAAATCTCACCAGGCTCAAGGTTGACTCAGCCTTCCATCCTTTCAAAGGTAGGTAAAATGAGGACCCAGATTGTGGGGGCAATAAGCTGACTTTGTATAAATATACAAAAGGATGAAGGCTATTGCTTAGCGCATTGTAAGCCGCCCTGAGTCTCCGGAGAAGGGCGGCATATAAATTAAAGAAAAAAAACAAAAAACTAGCAAATACCAACTCTGGCTGGCCCCAGAGTGGGGTGGGAATGGAGATTTTGCAATATCCTTCCCCAAGGGGTGGGGAGGGAATGGGGATTTTGCAGTATCCTTCCCCTGCCATGCCCACCAAGCCACGCCCACAGAACCGGTAGTAAAAAAAAAATTGGATTTCACCACTGAGAACAACCAAGTAGAAATTGTAACATAAAAACACAAGAAGATTGAAGGACTTCTTCCTTTACCCGAACGTAGAAGTTCCATTGTAACCGAATCTATTGTGTATTGAATGCAGCCTGAGAGAAACTTTGGCTAATCTCGGTGGCCAAAGTTTTTAAACTCGCTGAAAAGTCAACGCTTCCCACAAATAAATAAATAAAATGGTTTTCCATTCGTGAAAACCCAGGTGAATACTGAGATTTTCATTGTTTTCTGCATGATTTATTTTTCATTAAATGTTCCCTAAAAATAGATCAAGACGACGCATGTTTCTTTTAGAAAGTGTTTTATTTTAACTCCTTCCATCTTTGTTGGAGTGTGACCTCCCAATGAAATGGGTTATTATGACCTTCATGTGACACTTAGAAAGCTAAAACTGAGAAGAGACTGCAGTAGAGATGGGCTTGGGGCAAGCACCTTTCAGATCCAAAGTGATGTTGTGGCTTTTAGGATACAATAAAGCCACAGAGTTCACACTTCCTTGTCCTTGCGGGCAAGAATGACGTATTTTCCGGAGAAATCACAGTCCTCCATATTGGTCTTAAAAACTCTGGGCTCCACAGTGAACTCTACAATGGCAAATCCAGTGGCGCTGAGGCCGGTTTTTAGTATTTCCTCTGTGAAGAACATGCTGGAGAACTTTTGAGGGCCCACCATGTAGAACGTGCACCCTAAAACCCCACCGAGTATCAAGTGTCCCCCGAGTTTCAGCAGAGAACTGAGGTTCTTCAAGGCGGCCTGGAAACTCGGCTGGTCTTTGCAGGCCGACTCCAGGCACTCTGTGGACAGAAGGCAATCAGCCTGGGCCAGAGAGATGGGAGCCAGTGGGTTGCTTTGAAGGACATCACACCTGAGGACCTGCTTGATGCTTCTTCGCAGCTTGGCCTCCTTCTCCGCACACGTCTCCCTGCAGGGACATCGGAAAGCCAATATTGTCCCCCTCAGAACGGCCTCGCAATTTGGGTGTCCTCCTAGGCTCACAGCTAAGATTAGAGCAACATCTGACAGCTGTGGCTAGGGGGACCTTTGCACAGGTTCACCTGGTGCACCAATTGCGACCCTACTTGGATCGGGAGGCTCTCCTCACAGTCACTCATGCCCTTGTCACCTCATGGTTAGATTATTGCAACGCGCTCTACATGGGGCTACCCTTGAAAAGTGTTCGGAGACTACAGTTGGTCCAGAACGCAGCCACGCGAGCTGTCGTGGGTGCACCTAGGTACACCCACATTACACCAATTCTCCGCGAGCTGCACTGGCTCCCTATTGGTCTCCGGGCACAATTCAAGGTGTTTGTTATTACCTTTAAAGCACTACATGGCTCAGGGCCAGACTATCTTTGAGACCGCCTTCTACCGCATAGCTCCCAGCGACCGGTAAGATCCCACAGAGTTGGTCTCCTCTGGGTCCCGTCAGCTAAACAATGCCGGCTGGCGGGCCGCGGGGGAGGGCCTTCTCGGTGGCAGCCCCAGCTCTCTGGAACCAGTTACCTCCTGAGGTCCGGACCATCCCCACCCTATTGGCCTTCTGAAAAGCGTGAAGACCTGGCTTTTCCGGCAGGCCTGGGGCCGTTGATCTCGCTCTTGTGATCTGGCGAGATCCAGTCATGAATGACGTGAATGTGTTTTTAATGGTTTTAATTTTTTAAATTTTTCAATGTTTTTTTATAATGATTTTTTAAAATGTATTGTGAGCCGCCCTGAGTCTTCGGAGAGGGGCAGCATATAAATTTAATTAATTAAATTAAATCAAATAAAATAAAATAAACAGGCGGCTCTGAGACCTCTCTGGAATGCAGCGGAACCAGCTTAGAAGTGGTGGCTTGAAGTAGCTCTCCTGTACAACCCAAGTATGTTGGGAAGGAGAATGGCTGAAGTCCCTTCGGCTGGTATCTGCAGCCTTAGATAGACACCCTCAAATATCAAAGCAAAATGCCTGTCAATAAAGAGGGGAAATGTGCTAAATATGCATCAGGATGGTGGGGTCCTTGGTGCTCCCTGAGTTTGGTTGTTTCCTTGCAGATATTTCATTACCCAGCTAGGTAACCACTAGTAAATAAAATGAGAGCAATCCCCATTCTCTTCTAACACGGATGATGTTCCCTAGTTGGGTCATGAAATGTCTGTAAGCAAACAACCAAGCTCAGAGAGCACCAAGGACTCCACAGTTTTCCTCCTCCTCCTCCTCCTGCAAATCCCATCTACCCCCTTCCAGCTTGGGCTGAAAATTTCCTCCCATCCCTCTCTCTTTGCCCTTGCTCTATTTTTCTTGATCTGCTTGATTCCTTCCCTCTGGCCGGCCTCTGTCCCTTTTGTCTCTAATCAGGATGACCTCTCCCTTCCCACACAGAGAGTTTCAACGGTCAATGTTGCTTGGCTGGCCATTCTCCATTCCTGCCATTAGCCAATATTGAACTTTCTCCGGGACTTTGACCTGATCAGTTGTAAGATTAAGCCCACAGTTTTACTTTTCAGGGGCAAATCCTTGCCCCTCCCTACCTGTTCCCCTCCAGCTGGCACACATACTGCACCACCGAGGACCAATCAAAAGCGTCCGTCTCCTTCTTCAGCCATTTTGTAATTTCCTGGCAGTTCTGCTCCAGATAATCAGTAGCTATGATGTTCTCGTACGACCCACAAGCAGGGAGCAGCTGATAGATGGTGGGCCCACTGCCAATATCGATCAGGGTGCCACCTTTCAGGACTCCTGGCATAAACGAGAGGAAGGTTTGGGAGGGGGAAGAGAAGGGGGAAAGATTCAGATTTATCTCCTCCAATCTCTTTTGCCCAGGACAGTCATATGAGGAATCCCTGTTGATGTTGATCTGATGGGGTCAAGAAAATTTTTAATTTCCCTAAGCAAAAGAACGAGGATTCAACTGTAGCATTTTAATTTTTTTAAAAAAAATATATATCATCCTTGGGAAGACTGAAACCATTTTTACAGCCCAAATGTTAAACGCCCAGAGAATACCTGAAAATATTTGGAAGATTCCAGCAGGCTCTCTTGAAGTCCCACCCTACACTGAAGCCCTCCGTGTCCTTGAATACAGATTATCTCCTCCACTTTTTCCTGTTTTGATTTTTTTTTTTTAACGTCAGCACATTTATGTGGAATGCTTCCAATGCATTATAAATTCATTTGCTGGAATCTTGTCCCCCTCCCACCTCCCCATTGTATTTTATTAGGTTTAATGATCACCAATTTCAGATGTTTGAATGCAGGGATGTGGTAACGACACATATGAAATAAATAAAGGATAAGAAGTCCACAGGATCGTTGAATGAGCAAGACCATGAGCTTAAGGTAGCTTGAAGAAAACCACCTATCAAAGGCACAAAAAGTTGCTTGAGAATAAATCAGCCCCACCCCACCCCCGCTCAGAGTTTCCAATAGAGTCCTATCAAGCGATGCTGAAAACTTTCAAAAACTTTTCCCTGATGCTACAATCTGCCTCTTTTTAAAAAATAAACTTTCTCCCCCTTCAAAGTTGCAGCAGGGACTGAATCACCTACCTGAAGTAAAGATTTTGCAAAAGCATTTCAAAATAAACTCCAGGAATTCATCTTCCACAGACCCTTTCCCATAATGAAAATATTCCAAGTAAACTTTGGGATCGAATTCCTTCTGGTAAACGTCTCCTCCAGTGAATTCCATCACGGCGAGGTGGTCTCTGGGTTTGCAGAGATCAAATGCAGGCTCTCCCGGCCAGAAGCCTTCAATTATAATCCAGAAGAGGAGACTCCGTGCCAAATGGCCTTGGCCAGCAGTTCCCCTCAGCCTATCAGCAGCTGCATGTTTGGACTGAAAAATTAAACTCCTTCAAAATACGCTTCCCAACAAAGAAAAACATTTGCAAAGTATCTTTAAAATAAGGTCAGCAAAGACACATCGCTAAAAAGGACCATTAATAATGACTAAATGGTGTTTGTAATTACTGGCTCTAACATGCTGAGAAGTGTCATTTGCAAATATGCAGGGCGGATCTTGAGAACCAGCAGATAATGTTCTCCAAATTTTGCAGCACTCACCGAAACCGTTCCAGGAAGATGGTCAGCTGAGACACGGCTTAAAAATGCCTGAAGCGAACATGAAATCAGGACCTAGTGTTTACTATGTGTAAAAAAGAGAGAAAACAAGATTTTATTTTCAACATTGATGTTTCAGTGTGAGATTCATAGCATCCTTCAGGACCTCTCTCTTCATGGTCATGTCTCACTCTACCCACTGATGGTGGGGCAGAGCTACAAATCGTGACCAGATGAACTATCCCAAGACCCCATTCAGAAGTTTAAGAGCAAACAAACCAAAAAGAGTTGGATGAAGAAAACAGATAAATTTTGTTGGGATTCTTCCTACCAAACTTCAGGCTGGGCTTTGGGGCTGTTAGAGTCCATTGATTTCCATTTTTTTTTCAATCTCATGTTTATTTACACATAAAAGCACCCTAGGCCATATTTTCAGATTTATTTCATTTTATTATTTTTCCTGCCTTTTATTATACAAGCTTCCCTTATCCGCTGAATTCAAGAGGATTTAAATCTGGCTATTTCATTAGGCAAAGGTGTTCTGCAAAGGCCTTCTTGGTTTATCCTGCTGGGACTCTATTTGTAGGTCTCCAAAGAGTCGACTGTGGTTGCACACGAACAAAGACGCAAAGACAGTGTCCAGACTGAGCTGCTTGCTTGGGGCTGGTGCGGCCAAATCCCTTGACAAACAGTGAATGTTGAGATGTTGCAATCTTATGAAATCTCAATACGGCCCTTGTTTTCGTTTCTGGAGAAAGGAATCTTTGTTCCTTCCAAAGGACTCGCTCTCACGCAAAACGGCCAAAACAGGAACATTGAAATTTAAGGGCCTGGCCTGAGTCCACTGGGTATTTCTCTGCTGGACTGAAGGAACACTTGGGTTGCCTGGAAAGCCCTTGGGGGGAAGCATGAGAGAGAGAGAAGGGGGAGGATAGAGAGAGAGAGAAAGAGAGAGAATGGAAGGGAGGGAGGGAGAGAGAGATAGGGCTGGATGGATGGATAGAATGGGAGGGAGGGGGAGAGAGAGAGAGAAAGAGGGGGGGAGAGAGATGATGGGAAGGAGGGAGGGAAAAAGAGAGAAAGAGAGGGGATAGAGAGAGAGATGATGGGAGGGAGGGGGGAAAGAGAGATAGGGATGGATGGATGGATGGAATGCGAGGGAGGGAGGGAGGGAGAGGAGAGAGAGAGTTTATGGGAGGGAGGGAGGGAGAGAGATAGGGATGGATGGATGGATGGATAGAATGGGAGGGAGGGAGGGAGAGAGAGGAGAGAGAGCGATAATGGAGGGAGGGAGAGATGGGAAGAGAGGGAGGGAGAGAGATGATGGGAGAGAGGGAAGGAGAGAGAGAGATATGGGAGGGAGGGGGGGAGAGAGAGATAGGGTTGGATGGATGGAATGGGAGGGAGGGAGGGAGAGAGAGGGGAGAGAGAGATAATGGAGAGAGGGAGGGAGAAAGGAGAGAGAGAGATAATGGAGGAAGGGAGGGAGAGAGAGAGGGGAAGAGAGGGAAGGAGAGAGAGATGATGGGAGAGAGGGAGGGAGAGAGAGAGATGATGGGAGGGAGGGGGAGAGAGATAGGGATGGATGGATGGAATGGGAGAGAGGGAGGGAGAGAGAGTGGAGAGAGGGAGGGAGAGAGGAGAGAGAGAGATAATGGAGGAAGGGAGAGAGAGAGATGATGGGAGAGAGGGAGGGCGGGAGAGATGACTGATAGAAAGAGATAGAGAGAAGGATAGATAAACAGAGAAGATAGATAGATAGATAGATAGATAGATAGATAGATAGATAGATAGATAGATAGATGGATGGATGGGGCGGACAAACCCTCCTTCTCAGCCAATCCACCTCTTGCCACCTTGTGTAATCTATCTATCTATCTATCTATCTATCTATCTATCTATCTATCTATCCATCCATCCATCCATCCATCCATCCATCCATCCATCCATCCATATCTATCTATCTATCTATCTATCTATCTATCTATCTATCTATCTATCTATCTATCTATCTATCTAAGTCAGGATAAAAATCGAATAAGAATAATTTGCACAGATGTTTTGCTTTGCTTAAAAACTCCAGGATGTCTCACTTTATTAAGCCTTTGGCTCCCTCTCCTGGTGTCGCTCCACTTAATGCAGGACGTGAAGAAGCTTCGGAAGACTTCTCGCTTGGTTACTGCTTACAAAGCAGAGAGAAAGTTTCCTTCAGGATCAAGGATCTGTTGCTTCTCAGGTGCCCCCCCCTCACCAATACAAGAGGATGAGCGTAGCTCAGGGCTGAACTGCAGAGTCCTTGGTGCTCTTTGGGCTTGCAAATATTTGATGATGTGCAAATATTTGATTATCCGACTAGGTAACATCACCAGTGCTAGTGAGTGTGAGGTTTGGTGAAGGGAACGACTTGCTTCCTGGTGGCAATTGGGAGGGAAGGCCTCCCAGGTGCTGGATTGCTTCTGCTCTGAAGTATAAATTGACCTGGACAATCCACAGATCCCAGTGGGGTTTTTTGTGCTCTCTGAGCTTGGTGGTTTTCTTGCAAACGTTTCATGACCCAACTAGAGAACAGTGCTAGAAAGGAGGGGGGCTTTGCTTTCTGTTTATATACAGTGGCTTTACCCTGTCAGTATTGGCGGGGAAGATGGCTTCTCTCTCTCTCTCTCATCCATCCATCCATCCATCCATCCATCCATCCATCCATCCACTCACTCACTCACTCACTCACTCACTCATTCATTTGCTAGAGAATCCTTGGTGCTCTCTGGGCTTGGTGGTTTTCTTGCAAACATTTCATGAACTAACCAGGTAACATCATCAGTACTAGTAGGGCCTGGGGTTTGCTGTTTATATAGGAGTGGCTTGTCCTGTCAGTGTTGGTAGGAGTGTTATTTTCTTCTTGATGAAACTGTTATTTACTGTTTGATTGTTTCTCTCGGCTTTCTAATCCACATTTATGCGAACAAATGCTGAATCACCAATCAGAGACGGTCTTGCTTGTCTCACCAGTGATCATTTATTTCCGCCACAAACGGGTATCAGCTAAAGTCGAGTACGAGGTGTACAAAGTTGGCGCTGAGAGCTATCGCCTCTCGGCGCCTTTTAAACATGCTATGCCACTCTGGCATCGCGTCGCAGCTGATTGGAGTCTCGGCGGCTTCCAGCACTTTCCTGCGTTGCATTGTTACAACATCCACCGAAACCAGGAACCGCAACTGTGACGACCCTGATCCATCACCATGTCCTGCCTGATTTCCCGTTTGCCCCTCGTAGCGTGAGTAGCATCGCCACCCGGTGAACTGCCACCTCTGTGAAGCATAACCACCTGGTGCCCAGCCCCCTCCCAGGAAGCATTGGTTTTGCGTGCCGTTTCCCCTCAAGGATCATGTGTCGAGCCATGGCTGGGCTTGACAGGCGGCCCCCCTCTACCAGGAATCCACCTGCAATAAATAAACAGAATATGAACGTTGCCCCTCATGGGGATCCCCTCGGCTTATATGGGTATTTCTTGTGGAACTAATAACCATGTGGCATTGATGTCATTTTTGTTAACCCAGGAAGCCTCCTCATATGGATACCCCTTCCACCTCACCAGGTGTTCTGCCCCAGCTACAGACCCAAAGAACGCAGCACACACAAATTCTGTACAAACCTTAGTTTACTAAATTAAATCAGTCTTTTTCAAACAAAGGCTGTTAATTAACTTTCTTAACAGCCTACAAGAATCCGAAGAATAAATAATTGTAATCTTACTAGAATTGGCAGAAAGCCCAGAAGCAATTTGCAGGACACTGATAAAAGAATTAAGATCCAGATGCGAAGGAGAGTGAACGAAGTTGTTCCCTGCAAATTGCCTCAGTCGTCCTCCTTCCTTAAATAGGCTAAGGGAGTGGCCAATTAGTCCCAAGCCTTACTCTCAAGGAGACCTCCTCCTGAGGAGCCACTCCTGCCTTTTCGCAGTTCTGCGCGCCCGTGCATCGAGAAGAGGGTCCTCCTCTTCTTCCTCTTCACTTATGGGAGCTTCTGGAGGTTCTGAAGGCCCTGGCTGAATCCCAGCCTCTGGCACCACATCCTCTCCAGCCTCTTCATTGTCTGACTCAAGTGTCAGCTGCACAGGCTGCTGGCGCAGCACCACACCAGCCTCCTCGCTGTCGGAATCAGCTACTAGCTGCACAGGCCACTGACGGGCTACAACACCAGGTACTTTACTCTCCCCCTTGCCAGCTTAGAGTCAAGTACCTCATCTATTCCATATTCATTCCCGGTAATGGGTCCAGAGGGATCCGCAGAGGCTGTCTTCTCTACAGGTTTTAGTAAACTGCTATGAACGACAGGATGTATTTTCCCCAATAAGGGAGGGAGTTTCAGCATAACAGTCACAGGGTTAATAACTTTGGTCCAAGATATTTAGGACCGAGTTTCTTACAAGGGAATCTTTGCTTTCCCCTCAAGGATCATGTGTTGAGCCATGGGCTGGTACTTCTTGGGGAGTATTGTTTACTGCTTGATTGTTGGTCTGGTCTTCCTCCTGGTGTAAATAAAGCCTCTACTCAGTCCATGCTGGTCTCCAGCAACCTCAATGTTTTTGGCTGAATGTACATTCAGGCAGTAAAAACATGGAACTGTGTGAACAAGAATAAAGGGTATTTTGAAAAACACCCACCGGTTATGCTCCTCTCCTGGACAGTACACACAACCATGGAATCTTCACAGT